GGTGGATGGCGTTGACGCGTTTTGATGCGCATGCAATTGCGCGTTGGAAGGTGGAGGTGGAAAATGGAGATTGTAGGTGGTGATGTCATCAACGGTCGTGATCGGGTGGGTCTCAGTGTGCGACGCGGTCGCGTTATGTGTTATGCACGATACTCTTCATCCTTCTCGTTATACTCGAGCTCCCGCGTTCCAGCTTATTGGTCAGTCAGCGACGTGCTCCAATTTTCTTGCGATGCGTCAGATGAACCGTTCACCGGGTTTCAATGGCGCAACACCTTGCGGCTCCCAGAGCTAGGTACCTGGGACACTTCTTCTACGATACCCAGGCATCTTCGGCAACCAACGTCCGATGCTCAGTTAGCAGAAGTCCTATACCGTTCAGTGCATACGAAACTGCACAATGCTTTAAGCCCTATATTCATGCTGCGCTCCTCCATCGAGTAACACGCATTACCTGCCAACCCGACAAGAGCAACACAAGAGCGCAACAAGGAGAACCCGTCGTCCTTCAGCAGAATATCTGCACAATAACGATATCTCGTCCTTGTATAAGATCATGCACATCATCAGAATTATGTGAAGACTTACCGCATGCAGCCACGATCACAGTGGATCCTTCGTCTCAGGCATGGAATCTCGCCGCACCTGATACAACAACTGTCAACACTTGCCTGGTAACACGGGTAGCCTGGCATGCCAATGCCAAACACCTCAACCACCGTCTAAGATGGCCAACATGAGGATTCCTTTCGTTTTTTGCATCTTCGTCGCTCGTTCTCCATCCACCTTGAAGGGTTTTCTGTTCTTTTCGTAACCGCTGGCCGGTCCCTTTTCCGCTCGTTTTTTTTTCTAATCTTTTGTAATGGTTCGGCAATTCACCTTCTTACCGGGAGATCGGAGGGATACGGGAGACGATGGCAGGACGGTGCGGTATAGCCATTGGGGACGGTATAATACTTTCTACGGACTTTCCTTTACGACGACGCTTTCGACGGTGCTTTTGCTGGCGCAGATCAACGAATGCAGGGTTACCGGCCAGCTCTTCACTCTTGCGAATAGGTTCCCAGGTTCCGCTGCATTGGTCGTACAGCTTCTCGCCGCTTTCTTTGGACTTTTGCATCTCGCGGTCATCTGCAAGCTCATCAACTATGCGCTTCGACTGCGGCTCAATAAGGTCAGCGTTTCCCTGGATGTGTTGCGCACTTGGGTGGACATGAGCATCATGCGCGTGGATTGGGACTTGCCTCTACGGTTCTTCTTTCCCTCTGTCTTTGTCGTTCTTCTCAGTCTTGTGCCTGCGGCGCTCTGGGCTGGTTCGATGACACCATCGGTATCGCGGACGGTGGATAGCGGCATGCTTTTGATCCCAAGCTACGAGGACGTGTCGATGATCAAAGAGTATCCGATGATGATTGGTAGTTCGGGACCGTCGCTGCGCACGCAAAAGGGCTTCTTCACGTATTCGGTTGGCCAGCAACAGAGTAGTCAGCTTCTGGCATCAGCGGCTCAGGCGTCTTCTTTGGGTGGAGGGCCCCATGTCCATCGCAAACTCGACAATACGCAATTCAGCTACCGAGGTCGTTCATATGGCGTCGGTGCGTCGATCGGATTGATGGACCAAGGGATTAGGTCGAACAGCCAGGTAGCTGGATACATCTACCAAGAGGAGGGCTATCTGGCAAACGTCACCTGCACGTACAACGCAACATCCAACTTCACCCTTTCTGGCCCCGTCAACGAATGGATCTATGCGGCTTCCGGTAATTTGCCTGACAGCGAAGAAGGCCCCGAATACTCAAACTACATCGGGCACGACGGAAAAGCCATCGTAGCGATGGGCGTAGCGTACAGCGACCGTTCGCCTCGCCGCTACCTCGCTATCGCTGCAGGTTCAGCCTACTCCTTCCTCAACACCACGCAATGCGAATTCGACTTCACCCCCACCCTCTTCAACGTCACCGTCGACGTCGGCAATCTCAACATCACCGTCAAGCCCGTGCGCACTATGCCCGATTTCAATCCCCAGCGAAACGTTACGCGCACGGTTGTGCGGCAGTTCGAGCTCATGTCCAACGACATGACGAATCTGTATGTTTCGCTGCTTGGCGAAGCGTTCAACTCCAGTATCGCGGCATACAAGATGTCAGAGACGTTCAATAATCGGACATTCACTGAAGAGGAGGCAACACTGGCGGGTCTCACGAATAGCATGGTTGCTATGGCTGATGATATGTTGGTTGCGTATGCGTCTGCGCAGCTCATGGTTGGACGCATGTTCACTCAGCAACCGGCGAAGGTCTACGTTTACGCGCTGCAGTTTGGGCAACCGAGTTACATTTACGCTATTTTCACGCTCAACCTCGTTATCATCCTTGCGGTTGTGTTTGAGGCAGTGCGCACAGCAGCGTGGTCTGCGCTTGGCCGCTTCAACTATCTCGATCCACGTGATCTCATCGTCGCTGCATCAAGAGGCGGAGGCGATATCGCAGCTGCAGCCGATGACATAATGGAGCGGAGAGAAGGGAGGAGGATGAAGCACATATGGCTATTAAGCGATCCGGACGGAGGTAACGGGTCCCTCATCGTCAACTTACGGGGCGACCAAGACGGACACGTCAAAATCGAAGTGGGCGCTGGGCAATGCGCAAGAGACGCAGAGAGCGCATACCCACCGGACGAGAAGAGCATGTATGTGGAACATGGCGCTGAGACAGAGCGGGGCCCGTTAACACCCAAGACACCTATGAAGATGAAGGTTGGCATTTTCGGGTCAAAGCAATAGAAGACATGGGCTTAAGACATTGCTCAGTGTTCGGCGCTTGGTGCGCTTTGCGGAAGTGGGTGAAAGAAGATATCTAGATCAGTTAATGAGACTTTGTTGAGACTTTGTGGTTTGGTCAGATGATGAGCATGTGTGGACTGGAGTGAGTGACGCTGGAACGTGACGGAGGAGGGTATGTGAGGAAGTTTGGGCCAGGGGATGGGGGATATAAGAGGATGAAGAAGTTCGTGGGAGTGAGGAGACATCAACACATCTTCACATCTTCACTACCATCTCACAACACCATCACAACAGCATTCCAACCCTTCTTATCATCAACCCACCAACAACCACTCCCAATCATCCCACCAAAAATGGCATACCCACGCGTCACCCTCAGCGCTACCCCCTCCCACTCCCGCGGCACTCTCCTCGCAAAACTCAACTCCTTCTTCCGGGATGCCCAAACGGACTCCCCGCCTTCCCCCCACGAGTTCGACGCCTGGTTCTTCGCTCTCACCATCGATGACCGCGCCATCGTCCACGATATCCTCCAACCACTGCACACCAACTGGCCCAGTCAAGTCGAATACCCCAACGTTATCGCGTTGGTGCACTGGCTACGTGAGCACCGTGCCGAGTACCGTGCAGAACGAGCTGCTGCCGTTGCGGATGGCGCTGCAGAGCAGGAGGCAGAGGGAGGAGACGAGAACTTGACAGTGGAGGGGGTCATGAAGATGATTGAACAAGTCTTGGCAGCTCAGCAGGAACAAGTGGCAGCTGCGCCTACCGTACCTGAGCCCGAGCCATCCGTTCCTGAACCTACCTGCCCTGGCCCTATCGACGTGGAGCCGCAGCCGCAGCCCATTCATCCTCGCCCAGAGCCTGTCGCTGGAATGGATGTCCTGGCCGTTCTCGTCATGGTCTTGGCTCCGGCATGCTTGGTACGTCTCCTGATGATCTTGTTCCTGTTCTCGGTTCTACGACAGGCCTCTAATGGTACGCGACGTCTCTAGATCGGTGTGGCATTGCACCGACGCTGGTTCCGGTAGATTCTGGACTTCAGTGTTTGGGATAGAATTGCTTTGAGGATTTGATTGGAGTCTGCGTGGTTCTTCTTTCTTTACAAACGCTCGCTGGTAGACTGACTGACTGGGGTTCGTTGTTGTCTTTCATTCAGGGTGTTCTCGTGGTTTCTCGTGGTTTTTTTGTCTTTGCAAACATGTCTCGGTAGGCGTTGTTGGATTTGGGAGTGTTCTTTCTTGTAGTTGCAAACGTAGACAATAGACAAACCGGCGACGTTCGGGATATAAACGATGTACTTCCTGTGTATGAGTGATCTTCATCCGATAACATCATCCATCATACAAGAACAACTTACAACAACCATCAATCTCAACAACACAATACCAACAATGTCCAACAACAACACCACCCCCGCCAGCGACGCCACCATGGCCGAGCGCCTCGCCTACTACGAGCAGTCCTGCAAGCGAGCCGAGAAGCGTATCGAGAAGAAGAAAGCCCTCGTCGCCAAGTTGGAGGAGGAATACGCGGCTCTTCTAGAGCAGCTCACCGAAGCCAGGCTTGCACCGAATCTAGACATGGAGCGTATCGAAGTCCTGGATGCGGCGATCAAAGCGAACAATGCAGAGCTTGAGACTGAGGCTGGGCGACACGAGCAACTGTGCGAGGACTACCAGAAGCTGATCGACATGAAGAATGGGTCGGAGGCGGAGTTCATCGCTCGTGTTACGGAGTATATGGATAAGGAGCCGGAGCGTGACGGTGGCGATGGCGACGGCGAGGGCGCAGAAGGGGAGGGAAATGGAGAGGCTGCCTAGGTCGAGCCAAGAGGTACGGGGTATGTAGATGGGGTCGATTGGTCGGTGTAGTAGCCTAGAGTAGCTCATTGTCGCTCTCTCACTGAGGTCAGAGGCCGACTTTGTGCCTGCGCAAAGCTTTTCCTTAGAAAATACATGTCTTGACATGAAACAAGTGGGGTCTTTGGCAACGTGGACGTGATACAATCTCATCATTCGACAGTGCATGTGAGCATATTGAAAGCCAAGTGATCGCATTGAGAAGAATAATCGGCGTTAAAAGGCAAATGAAAGTACAAACGGTAAGCTATGCGAACGCTAAGGGCATGAGGTGAAAGCAAAAAGACTACCAACGATAACAGCGATAACAACGATCAAGCACCCCAGTCCACCATGTCACCGGTCATGTACGAGGTTCAGGTACTCTCATCGAGGACCTGGTCGCAGACAGCGCGGTGCTTGATGAAGAAGACGTCCAAGCCCAACTTAGCCTTGGTACCTGAAGTGAGAAGAGCCTGGATGTTGTCGCATGTCTCAGGGTGGTGCGCACAAAGATCAGCAATGCAGATTGCCAGCTGACCTGTAGCCATCTTGAAAACAGAGTAAGCATCGCAGGCATGAGGCCTGACCTCGGAGACCCATTCTTCGTAACTCTCGTTGTTGAGCGTTAGAATGGCGTGAAGTAGGTCGGCTGCGTCATTGCAGCTGACTCCGGGGATCTCTGGGTCGCACAGGGAATACAGGCAGATCCTTTGATCCTCGGGAGTGAAGGGGAAAGAATCGAAATCCGTCGGGAGAGATGGGTCGCTCGCGTGCATTGGCGCCGCGATAGCTCCTGCGCAGTAGCAAGTATCGTTGAAGTGTCCGCAGAAGTCGCAGTCAGGTTCGCACTCGCATGTGGGGGCCCGGGAAATCACCGGGGCATCGATGGCTGGGTAGACCTTCTTCATCTCCTCCATAACCTCCTCGCATGGGAAGCCCATCAGGAGTGAAGCATTCACGGGGTCGCAGACTGTGGGGTATATGGCACGAGCATACGACTCTAGTGCCGATTCATCGCAATCGTCGACTCCAGTGTGATACCTCCGGACGATGTTGCACAGTGTTGATTTTACTGAGTGATGTGGGGTTGGTACGCGTGTTGGCTCAATGTCGTCTGGAGTGTTGCGAGCTGCAGGGACGCGACGTCTTGCCGGGTAAATGACCCTGGCTAGGCATGGACTGTTTCCTGGTTTTCGTGGCTTCTTGCAATCTGGGCAGTCTGTTTCGCGAGGTGCAGGCGCAGGTGGTGTGAAAAAGCCCCCGCGCGACGTGGTGGAGGTGGTGTCCGTTGGTTCTGGCTTGGGCGGAAGAATCACTGACGATGTGGATGGTGCCGGTACGAAACCGGGGGTGGGTTCATCGGAGAATTCAGCGGTCATGCCCATGGTATACGTGAACTTCATGGTATGAGCCTCCCGCGATTCGGAACCGTCAGTGTCGGATCCGGAGTCGGAGTCGGTATCCTCTGCCACATGATTTGGAAGGTTGCCCGTGTGAGCTTCAGCGCTGTCTGCACCGTGGTGTGTAAGGCCAAAATATGGGTAGTCGTAGCACGACATGATATCGGCAAGAGACGTGGAATCTTTCAATGTAGTCACGCGTGGTGACGTATCGCACAGGACAAGCTCAATGTTGTCTTTAGGGGTGCAAACATGTGTCTCAACCTTTGCGGAGCCGTAGAAGCTCTGGTGACAGCTGTGCAAGGCGATCTTGTTGTGGAAGGGGTTGCCTCGAATCGGGTCCAGGCCGACCCAGACCTTGTCTAAGGTGTCCAGGTCAATCGTGTAGGCGAAGTCGATCTCGTTGGCGCCCCTGTTGATACCTTCGAACTTGTCGGAGATCTTGATGGCAACACCAGGATTGAGGGGGGATCCAAAGTGCCATGGTTCTCGGTACTGACCATGAGGCTTGAGAGGGACGTTTTCGGTGAGTGAGCTGCTGAGCCACTGGGGTACAGACCAGATGTAGACCGTGTATGGGCAATGGTTGGTGACGATAGCTCCGGCCTGAGCCAGAGCCGCGAGTGCAAGGACGAAGAAGGCTTGTCCGAGCATTGTGTTGAAAGGGTTCAGTATGAGAGATGATGCGGTCAGCAGTAGCAGTAGAAAACACTGGAGAAGGGGTTGGAGAAGAAGAAGAGAGTCGGGATGGGAGGTGCAGTTTATGAGCGGTAGAAAGTGTGTTTACGTGTCGTCATAACGAACACAGGAAGTTGCAACAGCGCCCATTGTTGCCATAAGTTGATAAGATTTGAGGAGGTGCGCCGGATGCGCTGGAAGGTAGCTCATGCATTTCGTGAGATCTTCCAAGCCTATTGCTACCCTAGTTTCCTGTTAGACCCCTAGAGATGTCGGTGCGTAGTTATTTGAAGAGGCTCCAGCTGCCGTAGCCGATTCTTAGATGCTGGTAACGTGTGGTACCATTCTTCGAGGTCCATGGTGCTTGCTCATGTAGCTGGAAGGGCGATCACGATCTCGCAAGATCGCTTTCCTGGCGCAGCAGGTCCAATTCGGGAACCGCCTTCTCCTTACCAGTGTGAACTGCCACCATGTCTCGAGAAGGAGAGCACGATCAATAACCACGGTCGGTTAAAGGGAAGCCCCGGGGCCGGTATCTGGTGATCAGGAGATGAAGCGCGTCGGCGCACGGCGGTGATACTTCCCCGCCTGTGCGTGCTTTGGCACAAGGAGACTTCAGCATCGCGTTATCACCACAGAAACGGTCGCATAGGCCGCCATGCACGATGGGTGATCTCTTGAACTCCATGGTGGTGGTTGTATTGTGGGTTTGGGGTTGGTTGTGGACAGATGCGCACGGCAAGGAAAGTCGCTTACTCAGCCCCTCACTCACAGCTTGAAGCACTCCGGCTAGCGTCCTGGAGACCTGAGGCGCGAATGAAACACTGCAAACCTCAGCATCAGCGACAGTACAATAAGAACAGAATGGCCCCGTATACTGTTTGCGCAAATTGCGCATTCTCACACATCTCACTTCTCGCTCCTGGGTAGCATTGTCGCCGTAATAGATACTTTCAACGTCCGATTCGCGTCCAAGCCTCAACTACGCGCCGACGCGCCCCACCATCCTCCATGATTCAACAATCCTCTTGTATCGACATGCCCACCATGTCTTCCTCAATAAGAGAAGTACCCGTCCAGCTACCGAAGAGCTTCGACCGACCCGACGAGCCATGGCATCACTACATCAACGTCGACCTGATATGGTACGTCCTCGGATACACGGTCTTCCATCCGTTCGTATCATGGGTCGTGGTCCTGTGCCTGCGCGCGCAGTACACGCCTTATGAGAACATTGAGATGCGCATTGCCATGGCTTGGGCTATGCTCATGACCGTCACCGGCATCTTCGGACTCATCAGTGACCGGATCGCATGGGGATCACCGCGCGAGGTAGACCTAGAGGAAGAGGTTATTGTCATAACGGGCGGTGTTGACGGTCTCGGCGGTCTGCTGGCAGAGACGTATGGAATGCGCAATGCCAATATCGCCGTCCTGGACATGAAGGAGGTCGATGAAGATGAGGCGGAAAACAAGGGCGTGGTTTACTACAAGTGCGACGTGAGCGATGCAAAGCAGGTTGAAGCTGCCGTAGCCAAGATTGTCGACGACGTGAGTATCCCTCTGCTAGGAGACCGTACTCTGCTAACGACTATAGCTCGGCGCTCCGACGATCTTGATCAACAACGCTGGTATGGTGCAGACCAAGTCAATCCTCGACTCAACCGCGGAAGATGTGGAGCGGTATGTATACTCTGAAATCCTTATTGATATCTGCTGACACCTCACCAGCACCTTCCGCGTCAACACCCTGTCTCAGTTCACCACTCTCCGTACAATCCTCCCACACATGCTGAAGGAAGGCCGCGGCACCATCGTAACCGTTTCCTCCGTCCTCGGCCACCTCGGTGCCGCCAACCTATCCGCATACACAGCTTCGAAAGCGGCCCTTCTGGCGCTGCATCACTCGCTTCGCGCGGAGCTTGCACAAAATCCCGCCGCAAAGGACATCAAGACAATCCTCGTACAACCTGGTCAGATGGGTACAACCATGTTTGCAGGCCTCAAGACCCCAAGCAACTTCCTAGCACCTGTGGTTACGCCTGCCGATATCGGAAAGGACATCATCAAGCTGATCGAGAGGGGTGAGAGCGGCGAGATTGCGCTTCCTCTATACTCAAAGTATATCCAGATCCTTGGTGTACTGCCTGTCGGCGTGAATCATCTGGTGCGGAAGTGGAGTGGCATGGACAAGGCTGTTGGAAAGATGGGTGAGCTGAGGCAGAGGCAGAATCTGACGGAGAAGAAATAATGGGCTTGCTGATACCCACGATCTAATGACATGTAAAGCAGATGGTCTCCGACTATTGTACAATATACGTTCCATAATCCGTCGACTGCAATGCTGTATGCGACTTTTCCTGTTTCCTCTATGCAATCCTGCGATCGCACATCCTACAGTATCCCGTTATCACAGCATGCGTTTGCATCATGGAGCTAGGCAAATGGGTACACCGGAACAACATGCCAGTGTTCACATGTGAACGATGGTTTGCGGGGACCACTAGCGCCGTAGGGCTGATCTTAGCGAGCGCTCGCACATCTCGACCCTGAAATCGCGACGACGACATCATCATCACCACAAGTAAATGTAAGAAGATACCGGGCTATTCTGTTTGGTCTAGCAAATTTGCATGCGACACATACTAATTGACTAGCAGACTTCCTCTGCCTCAAATCAACACAATGGCCGACCAGAAAGCATCCAAGTACTACGCTGCCGAGGAGGAGGCGCAGATGAAGAAGGTATGCGCATTTCTCGCGATGAATTTTGAGCCCTGAAAAAGACACAGAAACGCATATGTTGAAGTTGTCGCGAATATCAAGCTAACAACCCAATTCACAGGCGCGCAAGACAGCCCACCCCACCAAGTACCGCGAGTCGCTCGCCCCCGGAACCGTCCTGATCCTCCTCTCCGGCCGCTTCCGCGGTAAGCGCGTCGTGCTCCTGCGCCAGCTCGAACAAGGCGTCCTCCTCATCACCGGCCCCTTCAAGTCCAACGGCGTCCCCCTGCGTCGCGTCAACCACCGCTATGTCATCGCGACCTCCACCGTCGTCGACATTGCCGGCCTAGATGAGGAAGTCGTCGCGCGCGTCAGCAAGGACGAGTACTGGGCGCGCGAGAAGAAGGACGGCAAGGGCGAGGACGATTTCTTCAAGGACGGCGAGACACCTGCAAAGAAGGAGACGGATCCTCAGCGGATAGAAGACCAGAAGAAGGTGGATAAGGCGCTTATGGCTAATATCAAGAGGACTCCTGATTTGGAGTCTTACTTGGGTGCTAGCTTCGCGTTGAGGAGCAACGATAGGCCGCATGAGATGGTCTTCTAGGCGTCGGCACGAGAACGGGGCGAGAACGGATCGAGGACGAGACGAAAACGAGGCGGATATCTGCGGCAACGGTCTGGCCGGGAACGACGGTTCGAACGAGGATGAACACCCGGACGCCACGAGCGATACGGTACGATTTCATATGTAGATGAGATACCCATGAACCAAAATTCACAGCACCAACACTCCATTGCCCGCAACTGCAGCTCTACGATGACTGGATTACGATATTTTCTCCTTCGTGCTACCTCAATATCAATCCTTATCTCCTAGCGTCATAAGTACTGCCTTGAGCATGCAAGGTTCTTTGGGGGCTATTTTTGATGGCCATGTGTGGCTATACACGTGGTACGTACCCCTCAATGGCAGCATGCAAGTCTACATACTACTTCTAAATCCTAGACAACCCCCTGTTACATTTCAGCTATGGTGCAGTACCCCTCCAAGAATCGACGAATGGGTGTGCGCACCAGGCACATCATGCGTCTTGATGGAGGGGTCTCGGTGATGTGCCAATGTGGCACGGCGGCTTTATTCATTGCCACATGAATTGCGATTTGGCAGACTACTAGGCTGTGCTGCATTCTGTGGGAGATTGAGCACGCGATTGGCAGGTGTCGACAAGGCTGCGATTTTGGTGTGCTACCAGCTGCAATTGAAACGAGGCGAAGTAGCTGTGCTGGCGAAGATCCATCGCATGGGGGCTACGTCCAGTATAACAGCCTTGCTCAGGTTCCCCCCGCGGGCTTCACGACATTCCAACCAACCTATCTTTGATCATGGCGCAACAACAAGAACAACAGCTTCTGAAGCATTCCGAAGAACCCCAGCCGATAGCATGGAAAACAGGCTTCTGGCGCCGTCTACCCTGGGCCGGCCACCTCGCCCTCATCGCTACACTAGTCGCATCCGCTTTCATGATCCAAATTCTGGTCACATCGGACGGCCAACCTATCGATTCTTGGACATATCAACCCACTGTCTTACTTTCGATCACGTACACGCTCGCCAATCTCGCTCTACAATATGCCCTAACACAAGCGATCACTGTCGCTTGGTGGGTCAAAGCACTTCGAGGTGATGCCAAGGTCAAAGACTTACACCACATCTGGGCTTTCGGACATGGCGTTAAGGATATCGTGCTCGCGGGTCGTTCGTTCAATATGATCGCCCTGACGGCTTTGGTCGTAACGTTGGTGCCTATCAACGGTCCTTTGCTTCAACGGGCTTCTGTTATTGAACAAAAACGCGGACTTCATACCGTGAATGCATCGATCAGCATACACAATACATCCTTCTCTGATTATACTGGATACATAACTGGACGTTTTCACGAAGTTAATAGACTTAGTGACCCGTTTACGCATGTCGTGAAGGAGCACAACAATCGCAATCCAATCAATATTACCGATTCCGGGTGTTCCGGGACGTGCAAAGGTATCATACCTGGGATGGGTTACGACGTTCAGTGTGTGAATGATACGGATATCTCTTACAACCTCACTCTCAACAATGAAAGCCATGCTGAGGCCCAAGCGTTCTTCACCAAATTCTCTTACTACGAGGAAGTGCCAAACCTTAAAATCATCAATTACACATCCATCATAAAACGCAACGACAGTTGTGAAGGTTTCCTTATCCGAACAAATTGCTCGCTTACACCCGCCACCATCGAATATCCATTCGTCATAGCCAACAACACGATCTTCCTGGACCCCGAGACATCCTGGGAGACTGATCGGGCTGTGGCACACTATATTAAACCTTTCTACCTACAAGGAAGCGGTACGCAGTTTTCTGAGCATGGTGGCCTATGGTTCTATTTAGACAGCCTCTACGCCTCCAGCTCGCTGACCAGATTTGAAGGAATCTTCTGGTGGAGTTCGATGTTCACTGGTACGACTGCTATGCGTTATGTGAACGAAAGTGGCGGGGGATGTTGGGGGACTTTCACGGATCCGACTTTCGATATAATGAGCGATGCTCGAGAACTTGCGTTTCGAATGGCGCTATATACAGCGCCAAATCCAAACAACACGTACCACATTGAAGTGCAGGAGGAATGGGCGAAGATCGTATACAGGAGTCACTACATCTATCTCGCCTTCGCCGTGGCCATCACCCTGATAGCAACTCTATGCGTTTTCAGCATATCTCTGGGATGGTGGCACCTCGGCAGGGAAGTTTCGCTGTCACCAATCGAAGTCGCGAAGGCGTTCGCTGCGCCAGTGCTACAGAACGCAAGCTCGAATGCGGAGGTGGAGGCACTCGTCAAACAAATTGGTTCAAGACGAGTCAGATATGGAGCTACATGGAACGATGAAAACGACATCGAAGAGACACAGCCTAACCTGAGATTTGAGGAGCCTGGGGAGTGTGAAAAGCCGCAGAATGGCCAGGTTTTCGGCCATTGAGCTGCTGATGATTTGGGTTACTTTATTCATGGCTCAATTAAGATCGCGGGCTTGTGTTATCGGTTGCTGGTTGCACCTGCTTTGGAAGAGAGTGCAATGGCGTCATCATGGGCCGAGGGCAAGGCTGTGACTTCCTTCTAACGCGTATCTGCTGCTACTTCGCGACCACTTCATCCAGTGAACCCCGTTTCCTTGGCGATGAGATGAAATCATTCCATGTGGATACCATCAGGCCATGCGATAAGGTAGTGCCAACGCCACAGCATGACCTCACTCCCGTGCCAGCTACATGTCAGCCACACTCGACTTCGACATACCCTCTATTATACCTTTACCTACGCACTCTTTTGCCGAGTAATAACGGTCCGATGCGTCCTCTTCAGGAACTGGCCCAGGACGCCAGTGGCCACGCCAGTCCCAGTAATCACGAAACAAGCGGTTCTTTCAGTGGCACTACTCATAGTGTTGTGTCTGATGATAGCGCACAAGATGTAAGTGACTGCCTCAACATGGAAAGAGCCGCAGCTAACAACATATGACAGGAGAAGCTCGTACAGTTTCTGGCATCATCCACCCTTGATGAGACCAGTACTAGCAGTTTGCTCAAAACGTTCTGTAGGGACATGGAACAGCCGGTGTATTCATCACTAGGGGGTCGATGTAGTTTCGCCTTGCTTCGTCTCGTTCTCGAATACTGACATGAGCCAGACAAGTATCGATCCGCTGATGGAAGCAACAACAACATCCACCTGCCTAACGTCGGTAAGGCTGGCTCTTACTACGCGCGCATGGTCACTCCAAGACATATACCTACAAAGCTTCCCGATCCAGAACTGCTCTTCGATACACTGCTCGCGCGAGAAGCCAAGCCAAAGCCCCACCCCAGCCAACTATCGAGCCTGTTCTTTGCCTTCGCGGCTGTCATGGTATGCGATGTGTTTCGTACAGGTGACGAAGATAATGATGTGGCTATGACATCTTCATACCTGGACTTATCGTCACTATACGGGGAGTCCGAGGAAGCACAGAGCTCGGTCCGTACTTTCGTCGATGGGAAGTTGAAGCCTGATGCATTCGCTGATACAAGGATCCTCAGCCGGCCCGCAGCGGTAAGATACGAGCTCAAGTCTGTTGTGCAATTGCTCATTATCGGTAGTCCTCTGCCCTGATCGTATGCTTTTCGCGGTTTCACAACATCGTTGTCGAGCAACTGGCCATCATCAATGAGAACGATCGATTCAGCCCTCCCTGCAATGCGGCTGGAATCGACACTGGGTTTTACAAGCGAGCTCTCAGCAAGCGCGACAACGACCTCTTCCAGACTGCGCGGCTAGTAACGACCGGATTATACATCAACATTGTCCTAAAAGACTACGTGCGCACGATCCTCAACCTACAGTGCGTAGATTCCTCGGTGACCTTGGATCCGCGAGCAAAGATAGAGGGTATCATTGGGCAGACAGACGTCGACAAGGCCCGTGGCAACCAGACAAGCGCCGAGATCAACATGATCTATCGGTGGCATTCGACTATATCGAAGAAGGACGAGGACTGGCTCACAGATCACATGTCTATGATATGTCCAGATATGAAGATTGGCCATCTGACTTTGGAAGACATGCGAGCTGGCATGCGTCGACATGCTGCTATACCGCCTGCGGATCCTGGTCGGCGTGTCTTCGCTGGTCTCGAAAGGAAGGGCGACGGCTACTTTCGCGATGAGGATATCGTTCAAATACTCACAGAAGCCACGGATGAGGTTGCCATGAGCTTCGGCCCACGTCGTGTCCCTTTGGCGTTGAAGGTCATCGAGGTAATGAGTATCGAGCAAGGTCGACAGTGGGGCGTGGCTTCTCTCAATGAGACCAGGAGATTCTTTGGTATGACGTCCCACACCTCGTTCACCGATATCCATCCCGATCCCGATGTCGCTGCCGCGCTCGAAGTCTTGTACGAGGATGTCGAGAACGTTGAGCTATATGCCGGAACTATTCTGGAAGAGCCAACTGCTCCAATGACTCCGGGATCAGGTCTATGTGCGGGGACGACTGCGACCCGAGCAGTGGTGTCACATGCGCTCTCTCTTATTCGGGGGGATCGATTCTACACTGTGGACTACACCCCGCACCACCTGACAGCTTTTGGGTACAACGCAGCTTCCAGCGAGTACTCAATCGATGACGGAGGCGTCATGTACAAGCTACTGATGAGAGTCTTTCCCGAATACTATCGTGGCAACTCGATTTACGCGCACTACCCGCTGACCACACCTTTGGAGATGAGACGACGACAGAAGTCTCTCGGACACGAGACAGATTTCTGCTATGAAAAGCCTCGCTACGGGTCGCCTCCCACAGTCGTCACTGATTACAAAATGATCCTCCGCATTCTTCGTGACCAGACTTTGTACACGACAGCTTGGACTCATACCTTGCGGCAATTGGAGTATCAACCACACGTTCTGCTTGGTCATACCAGCGCTGCCATCAAACAGCAAGACATTATTCGGCAAGCTATACTCGGTCCCGAGGAGTCGATAGAGATCTTTGCGCACTTCCTCAACCTGAAGACCACCCAGCTCGTGCAGAACAACAGCAAGTGGCTTTTCAAAGTTGCCGAGATAGATGCAATCAAAGACGTGGCAGCTCGCGGTTGGACACAATTTGCTGCGTGTCTGTTCAACATCCCGATCAACGACTCGCAAGATTCAACGGCCAGCTTTGATGACAAGCAGCTCTTCAACAAGATGATAGCAGTGTTTCACTTCGTTCATCTAGACAACAACCCTGCGAAGTCTGCCGCACTCCGGAGGGATGCAATCACTGCAAGCGATGAAATGTCGAAAGAGGTCAGGGTTGTTTGCGAAGGAATGAAAGCATCACCCGTTGTGCAGTTTCCGGATCCCCGCAAGCGACGACATGCGAAGCGCAATCTCATGCCAGACCATGGAGCGAAAGTGATGCAGCGGCTCTTCGACAATGGGGCAAAGGTCAAAGAAGTTGTCTCTCTAGTGGTCATACTTGCCGTTGATCTTGTCGTGTTCAGCACCTTTGCTGTAAGTCTACAAGTCGCTTCAAGCATTCGCCCCGGCTGACCGTTATTAGTTCTGCCAAGTCATCGATCTCTTCCTCTCGGAACCTTACCATTCTACGCACTGGCCGGACATCCAAAAACTGGCGAAAGACATCACATCAGCAAACTCCGAGGTACTGCGCGCATACGTGCTTGAGGCTCTGCGCCTTATCACACCTGCAACTGGCTTCCTCCGCATCCCTAACACCTTTCTCACCACTAGCGACTGGCGACACGCAGAGGGTATAAACAAGGGTGACGACCTTATCCTCGACGTGGCAACTGCATCTCGCGATCCCGCTATCTTTCCTGACCCCGACAACATCAACCTCGACCGTCCACACGAGCTATATCTACCATTCATCGACGGGCTACACGGAGCACTGACCAGGCCTATCATCGTCGCTGGTTTAGTCACCCAGCTGCGTATCTTTGCTCGAATGGAAGGTCTCAGAAAGGGGCCAGGTACGCAAGAAACGTTGAGGCGGGAGGTTCAAGAGGGTACTGTGAGCTTTTTGAGCGAGGCTAAGGATGAGTGGGTCCCACTGCCAGTCAGTAAGTACAGACTCGCCACATGAACTGTTTGTGGGCATCCTAATGATCTGAAATAGGCATGCGAGTGCACTACGACACCTTCGACCCTACTGCATGCGCGACCTTGGCATGATGAGTACTATCATGATGAGTAATATGATGGACATCATATGATTGAAAGAATGATAGAGACGCCACACCTCCAACCAGACGAGTTACATGGTAGTCTCAAAGATGTATTCTTAGTCTCCTACTACTATACCTCCGCTTTCCTTCGCATTCGAATCCCGCGACTCGTTCCACATTGGTCATACATTCACTCTAATCCCTTTAGCCCCGCATCTAAGTATTGGGATTGAACCAATCGCCATGCCTAAAATAAGACTCGTAGTAGTAGTACTCGTGACGATTCTCGTCATTAAATGCGCATAATGTTCCACAGCTACATCTCGGAGGCCTATTGGAGAATTAGTATACATCTGACACAAATCACAGGTACCTTGTTACTTACAATTCTTCATCCGGTGTATCAAAAATGGCTTTCAACGCCGCTTCCTGGTCGTGATGGCGCTGGCCCTTGAAGATCGCCTCCCACTTCCCTTTCGTGACCGTCTTCACAGCACCGGTCAACGTCACCGTTAATCTCTCCCCTAAGCTCTCCTCCTTGCACTTGTTAATCAGGAAGGGATATGCGAAGGTACAAATCCAGTCCACTATCGTACGCTGACAGCAAATGTAATCTTCTCCTCCATACCGAGGCAATCGATGTTTGTCGGGTCTACAGCCCCAGGGGCTGCCCTGGTAGCCGTCATATGGTGTCCGAAAGCGGAGATGTAAGTCACGGAGGTTGTCAAGCTTTTGAAGACAAGAACCCATTGACTCAGAAGCAGTAATCGCGATCGGAGAATAAAGCAGACTAACGCCGAAGAACTCAAACCACTCCACATTCGTGAAGTTCAACTCGATCTTACTCAGATGCTGGTAAGTCATCGCTGGACCCGCCCACGCTTTAATGGCTAGGACGAACAGGTCTGGTGTGAAGAACCGGCTACGCATTCGTACCCAGGCGAAATGGAGGAACTCTTCGCGGATCGTGGAGTTCACCGCCGAAAGCGAGAGACTCGGTTTGTGCACAGGAGGTCGATCTTCCGGCACACGGTTTTCATCCCATGGGGACGCCAACAATGCCTCACCCTTTAGACGCATAAACAAACCGGGGTGATAGCCCAGCCCCAGCGTTAGCTGAGCTTCAGATTCGGGCTCTCCATCGGGCCAGAAGCAGGTGTACTCTTCAGCGGTGCACAAACTGTTCAGCGGGTATACTTCACCACCCAGGGCGAACTTGTAGATCTTCTCTCGTATCTCAGCCGGAAAGTCCTCGAAGCGACGTTTGCTGCCCTTACTCTTGTACCACTTGAACTGCAAGTGATAGCCAAGACGACCGACCCACTTGCGCGACTTGATATTCTTCGCGAGCCAGTCACCGAAAGACACCCACTCCTTCTTGTATGTCTCGTAGATGTGGACAGTCTTAGCAGTCGGTGGTGAGCCGCTTGGCAGGATGGTAACCCACTTCGCCTGTTTCACACTGTCCTTCTCTACAATCTCAAAGTAGTAAGACTTGGTATCGAAGAGATTCACATAAGGCGGCCACAGCGGCGGCGCATCGTTCACAGGCCGGATGTTGACCCGCAGTGCGAAAGCAGCAAAGTTGTGCTTCTTCGGCGCGATCATCGTGTGGTACATCGCAGCCAGTACGGGGTCGTTGAAGTGCCAGCCCTTATTGAACTCGTACGTGGTCTCGTCGGTGAAGCGGCCGACTTGTCCATCGTGTGGGCGCCGCATCATTTCGAGCGCATCTGTGATCTTGTCATTGCGCGCATCGGGGAGGACGCGGTTGTACTTGCGAGGCCGCTTTACGAGATCGTCGTCGGCTGGAGGATCGAAGATTGCTAGGCGGCTTAGGAAGAAGGTTGGTGCTGCTGGGTTGAGCGTCGAGGACTTGACGGGCACGAAGGGGGGTGCTGCGGCGGAGAGCTTTGGGCTCGTTGCCTCCACAGCGGCTTCGAGGATGTTACCAGGGTTGCTTCGTTGGGTGGTGGAGTCGAGAGTAGCCATATTCGAGGCAAGAGTGTCGTACTCGTGTTGCCAGTGCTCGTAAGAGTCGTAGGGTGGGCTAAAGGGGGCCATCTCGAAGCCGCTCGAGTACTGTTGAACAAGATAATCGTGATAGCCGACGGGTGAATGCACATGGTAATCCCAAAACTGAGATGGTACGAACAATGCTATCCGAGGAAGAGTAGGATTAGCCATGTCGTGTTCGGTACCTAACTGCGAGCGGTAGTCAGGGTCGAAAGGCTCAGTGGAGAGACCAAAAGCAGCCATTTCGGACATCGTGTTGGAGTTGAGGAAGTTGATGGCCTTGTAGTTGAGTGTTTTTGATAGACTAGGGCTTGATAGATCCAAGCATATGCACAGGGAGGTGATACTAGCGCCAGAGAATGGGAATGGTCTGTGCATTTTGCTGTAGGCAGTTGTAATAGGGAATGGAGTGGCGTATACAGAGGCTTCGTTTTACTTTCTCCGATTTCTTCCGTGTTAGTTGGACTACTAAACATACGGAACGACTGGTCAAAATACCTGGTGTATTAGATCGTGGCAACACAAGTTATGGTTAGGCTACCTGTGCGTAATGTTGAAGGCGTATTTGAAGCCGATGAGTATCTCAGGGCGCGATAAAGCCTGATGAAGTAAGTTCTTGGTATCTCTAACGTCTTGGAAGCTAGCCTTGAGTTTCATGGGGCGAACAGATAAGTAGGGATCATGTCCAAATCCTTCTTGTTCGATGTGTGCAGATTGCGATCTTAGTCTCTAAAGCTTCACTCATTCTTCGTCCATTGAAGAAGCATCCTCAATTACAACACCTTCTATCAGGACTCCAATGGCTATCTGCATTTGACGATATCCGGTGTACCCCTCCAGCTCTTTGATCAAGGTCATCTCGCCTTGCGACAAGCCTGTTGGACTGGATGCCTTGGTCTTTCGAGATATGGATGACATACTCATGGCCTTTGCTCGCTCAAGAAGCGTCGTCCTATTCCTCGCAGTCGAAACAGTCAGGCCGAGGTAACTCGTCCCAAGACAAGCCGTGATCGTATTGAAAGTAACGGGTATCACTCATGACCTCGCAAGGCGTGCGACAGAAGCATGGAGCTGGGCTATAACTATGTTTAGCAAATAAACAGCGTGAAAAGCTTTCTGAGGATGAGTAGGTGCTTACATATCTGCTGGGGGCGTGTCGAGAATAGCCGCCTGCTCGACAGCGTGGTCCATGATGCCGATTTTGTCCCTTGCAGGTAGCGCAAGGAGTTTATTCCACTTGTCCTTTGTGTCCTTCTTCAGGATACCGCCTAGTCTCACCTTTGGTAGATCCTTTACAAATGGCCAGGCGAACGTCATGATCCAGTCGACCATCGTACGTTGACAACAGGTAAAGCTGTGCTTAACGCCCCACCTGACATTACGCATCCCAGAGGGATAGTAACATGCTCCATCCTCCGGGCTTCGAAACCAAAGCTGGAGAGTTGACAGTCCGTTCAATGTAGGAAGAATAGGTCCAAGAGATACACCGCTGTCCATGTAGAAGTTTGAACGCACACGTACGCCGAAGAAACTGAACCAATCGGACATCGTGAAATCGAGAATGAGATGATTGAGCCAGTTATAGTTCGGTTTAGTACTCGCCTCAAGAACTGATCTGAGCTGAATTGGTGAGAAGAAGCACTTTCGGGTGTCCTCCCAGCCAGCCTGAAGAGCCTCGCCATGGGTCTGCCTGTTGATAGACAAGAGTGCAATGTTGGGCTCGTAGGCGGAGCAGCCTGTGACTTGGTGCTCACGTCCTCCATATAACAGTGAGGGGTGGCGTTGGTCGATTTTACTGCTGTCATGCCAATTGCGGAAGCCCAAGCCGAAACGAACCTCAGCGTCCTTGGATGTAGTCAAAGGGTAGATTCGAGGACCGAGAGCGAATTCGAAGATCTTCATGCGCATCTCGGTCGGGAGGTCGGCGAGCCGAAAATGTTTTCCATTGAGCCTCCACCATGTGCGCTGCGCCCTGTAGCCCTTTTCACCAACCAATTCTTTGGCGGGCATCTGGCTGGAAAGAAGCCAGTCCTTCAACACAACCCATTCTTTACCAATCTTCAGATGTAGATTATTCTCCGTTGGGCCGGGCATTGCTGGGGCAAAAGTTACCCAAGCGGTGACTGGAAACTCATCGACACTGTCCACAAAGGTATACAGTTTGCTGCAGTACGTAGTGTAGTCGGGTAAAGCCAGCCAGAACGGCGATGACTTGTCGGTAGGTTCTACTCGAAAGTTCATGGCCGCGACGCCGATGTGTTTGGCCTTCATGTCGCGAATAAGGCGTATAATATACCTTATGACTGGGTCGTTCTGGCGAGGTGCGGGTTCGAATGTGTACTTATATTTTTCCTTTCCGTGATCGAGCATCTCCAGTTTATCAGAGGGTGGCGGACAGCACCGTACGCTGTTATAGCGGTTGATTGCCTCCCCTCTTCCATCATCATTCCTCGCTGCGCGAAGTAGATGGCGGATTCGGGTTTCCAGGTAGGGCATGGTTGTCGAAGTTAGCGATGGGGTTCGTGGAGGAGCGTACTAAGTTGAGAGAACCTCTTGCGGGTTGATGAGCGGAGTGGCGATGAGTTCACTGGAGGAGTACGAGGAGGTGTTGCGACATATGTAGTGGGCCTTCGGCGCCTAGCGTAAATGGAACGTAGGCTCCAGTCAAGGGGTCAGAGTTCATAGCTTGGGCGACAATGAATCCATTTTCGATGAGCTTCATGGGGTGACAAGGGCGGTTTCCGTGTACACACCAATGTATCCGTGTCTGGGATCAGTCGAGTAGCAATCATGCAGACGGGTACACTAGGCAACTCGCCCAGGCTAGAGAGGACAACGCTTAAATTGATCAAGAACAGACGTTGCTTAAGCGGTACGGCAGATAGAAACAACTCCTACTCCCAAGAACGCCTCGCTATACCAATACTCCGAGACTAACTGAGTTGCCTTGCACTATACTCACCACAACAGATAAGCGCCAACGAACAATGAAGCTATGAACAGCCCTTGGCTTCTCAGAGCATGCGCTGCGCTGGTACCCTCTGTGCCACAGCACGACTGCTCGTTGTACGTGACGTTGTTGGCCGTCGCAGCAACCTGGAAGACAGAGCCATTAAAGTTGCCATAGTTGTAGTAGTCGACGAGTATCCAATTCGGCGGACGAGTCCACATTTTCTCGCAGTTTTGTACATTAAGGCCAACACTGCCGTTTCCAGACACAGCATTGATCTCATCGAGGAGCGAGTATGCCGGTATGAGGATGCTGCTCACGCCTGGGAGACTGACTTCGATGTTCAAATTGTGGTTCATCACGTACATGCGCTCGCGTGAGACTTCTTCTGGCTGGTTCGGGGGTCGTTGCTCCGTGCATGGGAATGCGGGATCGGTTGGCGAAAATGGTGTTTGCCACTGGTAGTTGAATTCGCTGAGCAGCCACGGGACTTGTTCCTGGTCTGCGCCATAGTCCAACATCACCACGACACGCTTATTCCTAATAATCATCTCGGCCAATGTGGGCCAGTCCGTCAGGTTCAGACTAGCCGAAGGTGGTGTCCATATGTATTCCATTATTCCCGAGCTTTGGAAAGGTGCGATATAGTCTGTCGCTGGGTTTCGAGTGTCCTGGCCGTTGTTGTTGCCCATCATGATGGCAATGACTTCGAATGGGTTTTGGTCGAGCCAACCTTTGACCGTTGCGAGGTATGATTCGAGGGTACCCACGTCGAGCAGATTACAGGAGGTATGGCAGAGCCGTATAGCGGAGGTCTCGTTGGGTTTCTGGGTCTCGAACTGCACTATTGTTCAACGTCAGCTAGAGTCTTCCGGTATCGTGTATGATGCGCTTACACCCTCGAACTCCATCATTGAGCTGATTAAGCACTGGGTAGTCTTGGTTGCTGGCTGCATTGTGCGGCCTCACGAATGGGCTGTTATGTGCGACGACCATGGAGATGTTGGAAAACCTCCTCTGGCAAAACTCGACGTATCCATTGCATGGCTGAGTATTAGTCGGACTTGGTCGAGCGGATGTCGTGGTTGTTGAAGCAGTGCCGTTTGAGGATTCGGTCGAAGGAGACAGCCCGACTATGGCTGTCACCTCTTGTGTTGTCGTCGACGAGGTAGCGGTGGCATTCTGCCGTCCGGATGTAAACGTGCTCAGGACAATGCCCGGGAGACCGCTCGAGAAGTCGGCGGAGTAGGTGCTCGTAAAGGTACTGGAGACGTCGACGATCGTTTCGGTAGCGCTGCTAGGTATAGGTGTGTTCGATGCGGAGGAAGAATAAGACTGTGCGGTTATAGGTTTTGTAAGTAGGGCCAAAGAGAAGAAAAACAATGTAGGAATCATGAGGGCGATGCGATGCGAAAGAATGACGAAGTGCTAGTTAGCATATGTTATGCAATGCCGGCATACAACTGATGCTATGCGCTGTACTTATTGAGAGATGAGGTCAAGACAGTCTGCCTCACCAGCACTACGTTGGTGGTGCACCTTAGCTGACATTCGCCGGAAAGCACGATGACGGCATTGCTCGCCTCGAACGCCATCACACGTTGTGTCGGATCTACGCGGGGAAGGCTGAATGCGACCATCTCGAAGGCCTATCTGTTCTGGGGAACGCCTTTCGCGTTAATCGGAGATTTATGGGTCCAATAGCAGCCACGCAATAGTTTGACGTAGTAGACATTGACTGCAGTAGGGCTGGCATTGGCAGCAAGAGTGCTTGTGGCGGTTTTGGCGTACGCAGGTCTCAAGAGCCGCGTCGTGAGGCATTTTGACGCGTCATTAGTCTCCAAGACTGCGAGTCACGACCGATAGGAACATTGAACGATGAAAAGAGTGCTGAGTGCTGATCTAGCTGTGGGCGTGTAGAGAAAGGCTGGGGTTGAGTACGCGACATTGAAGACGCCCAGCCTCGCGTGACACGCTAACCGCTCCAGGGCTTAAGCTTCAAGGACTGAGGGTCAAGCCTCACGGAGGTCCACCCAACATGAATATAAGCTTTGGGCCGACTAGGTACACTACTTCCATCAGAGCTCTCGTCGCCTTTTTGCTCTCTGATGTGTAGTTTCCTTATCTCCGGAGGCGTTCACACAACTCCTGAAGGGCACTTGGAGGGCTCGTTCTAGCCTCAACAACAAAGAGCATCCCGGTTGAGCCTACTGAACACTCTGACATTGGAGACACAAAAATGGACTTAACCCGGAAAATAATGAACATTGATTGCTACATAGAAGTCGTGCTTCTTCCTCTCATCGTTCTACTGATCTCAACAGCCATACCGACGCAGGTCCACCTCACATCCGGGTTCGCCGTAAACCTCCAACTACCACCTGATCGACGAAGAAGGCAATGCGCCTTGGACTCACACGAACACCCTCTTAACCCCAACCTTAACACAACTCGGCGGATCTAGCAAAAGCAGTCAGCACAGCCCCACCACCCCAACATCAACATCTACCGAAAAAAAGAAAGCACCAAACTTACCAGGTTTCCCAACCCCCGTTCCCCACACCAAAGTCTGCCTAACATACCCCGTTCCATAGTACGTGAAGCAAACCCACCAGCGATAATATCCCGTCCACTCCCCCATCTCAGGTTTCTCAGCCCCCCAAGTAATCGGATTCTGGAAGTTTAGTACGTCGTTGTTGTCGAAGGAGAGGCTGCCGTCGCCACTGTAGGTTATGGCGAGTTGGGCGATGGACAAGGGGACGATATCTTGGGGTTGGAGGAGCACGGAGAGGTCGATGGGGTAGGGGTCGTAGGGGATGGTCCAGGAGAGGATGCCTTGGGTGCCGTAGGTCTGGGTGGGAATGTTAGTGAATGCGGGGATGGGTTTCTTTTGGTGGGTGGTAGGGCTGGCGGGGAAAGTAGGGCAGGTGTATATGGAAGGCTTACGTTTGTGATGGCAGTGTCTGTCGTGTTGTGGGTTAGGACAACGGGATAATGGGCCCCTTCTTCTGAAAGCGTGGGGCAAAGCGTGAAAACTGCTGCACCTGCATGGCATGCAGATAGTGTTTTGCCATTCAGGGAAGGATCTTCGGATATGAGGACGAGGTTGAAGGGGTCAGATTGTATGGTGTAGATGGGTTCACAATCGTACTCGCAATCAGAATCAGCGTGAGTTAGAGCTGCGAAAGCGAGAAGGATAGGAACAAGTCTGAACATAGCGGAGGTAATCTGTACGATGCGTACAGGTGCAAATTAAGCCAGAAAGCTAGGAAGGAAGGACTCTGGCTTATAGATATCTATAGAGGCGACCTTCGATCACATCACACGTGGAACGGATTGCGCATGTCAAAAGAGTGTCATTATCTATTGGCATTAGTTGCGTAGCACGTCAAGTCGTAAATCCCGATTGGGCCTTCCTCCATCTCCCCTCTTCTCATCCAACCATTACGGGAACAGATTCTTCCATCACAATCTTCTACTCTAGACAAACACCCTCGTCACGTTGACCGAGACACAGGTTGGGTTGTCTGGCTTGCCCGCACCCAATCCCCATGCCAGGTTGTTGTACCCGTAGCTGGCATAGTCCGTGTCGCATGCATACCAGCGGTAGAATTCCTGGTAGTTGCCTGTGTTGTTCTCGCCGCGGACGTAGCCCTGATACGTGAGTTCGTCCTGGGAGTCGAAAGCCAGCATAGTTGTATCGCTTCCGCTTCCGGGGCTGAGAGTGATGCCTGCGAGGTTGGAAGTTGGGTCGAGGTTGAAAGCCGCCGATGAGGGAATGTCGAGGGTGGTGGTGTTCAACCACCAGGTCAAGATGCCTGGTACGCCGAAGCCGTCCTCTGGTGCTTGAGAGTAGACGGATGTGTTGAATTGGAATTGTGCGCCGTCGAGAGGTTCTGGGCTGTCACCTACGCCAGCGTTGCTGAGGCAGAGTGATTCGATGGCTGCACCGACGTGACAGGCGCTTAGCGTGTCATTGACCTTTCCGTCTTCGGATGTGACGACTAAGAAGAATGGTGCAGAGCTGATGTTGTAGAACGGATCCTGTGCGCTCGTAACGGCAGCTGCTGCAAGGGTGAGGGCGATGGATGAGGTCTTCATTCTGAACGATGCTAGTTGGGGTTGTAGGTGGTCGATGCAATGATAGAGTCTCAGGTATGCTAGGCGTTGATCGAGTATGTAGGAGTTGATGAGTGCAGTTTACCAGCAACGGCACGGTCGAGCTTTATACTCACGATCATCCTTCGTAGTCGCCGTATTCGCGCAGCCTCATCGCAGCTCCTTCCAAAGGTTCCACCTGCACAGCAGTCATGTGTTCCACCATAACGGGCCCCAGCCAGCCCATGACGTTCCGCTACCCGTTAGCTTTGGCCGCCTTGCCACACCCACGATGATCCTTTCCAGTCGGCTGCGTTCGCTCCGTACGCAGTACCGCACGGCATGCCCGATGAGGGTCAGCGCAACTCAATCAGGGCAGTTATAGATCAACCCCGCGCGTTAGCGAGGGAAGCTTTCCCCAGCCTGCCGGATAAGTCTTGCATAAGTGCCACAAGTGCCACAGCCGCACAGGGCCTCAGGGTGCATATAGCGTGAGGATCAGCTGTCAATACGAGGGTCGAATCGATAGCTCAGTACCGAACCTGCAGGTGAAAAAAAAGTAATGGTGCGGCGAAAAAGCTGTGTTCGTGAGCGTGAGCAATATGAGAGGCATCATAAGCACTGCTTTGGAAGGCTGATTAAGCCTAGTACGAGGTCGTATATGACTTCGCTCGTGATATGCTGATGCATTCAATATTGTGTTAATTGTGCACCCTCGTACGATGATGAAGATGGTGGAGAGTGGAATGTTGCTCTCTGTCAATGACGCAAGGGTTCAGGCCGGTTGTAAGCCGGAGTTACCCTATTAGCGTAAAAGCTTATCGATTCTAAACTCGCCGGAGGTGTGACATCGTCTACGGCTTCAGATTTACACCCTCACACCAACTACGAGATGAATGGCTTTGATCGGGATACTGCCTTTGCGATGGTCGCCTTGATTCACTACGCTTCCGCCAGCACCTTCCGGATACGAACTGACCGGTCGCAGCACCTAATAATATACAGAGCGCCGGACGCGTAGAATACTAAGAACAGAGCTACGAAGCCATTTTCAAGCCACCGTTGCAACTCTATACTCCTAGGGTAAGGTGAGAGCTTACGGTTCCACCCTACAAACCGTATGTATGTTTGAGGACCTTATTCCATCGACATCAGAGCGCTGACTGACGACGGACCCAGTATCACAATAGCCCTCTCAACCGCCTATGATGTAACCACAAGTTCCGCACTCCTCCTCGTATGTCCGCAACACGTAGCTTCGTCATGTAGCCAACTCCGGCAACCGATAGGCCACCACACTAGCGATGTCTTGCTCCGCCATCATATCCACTGGCACCGAGCGCAGTGGCCGGCTCGTCGTCAGCATGTGCGCTCCTCCTTTCGGCCGAGTCCCGCGATACATCCTCATAAGCAGGGTTTGGTTGCGTCCAGTACCAACAGGCCCATGTGATCCAGCAGAAGATGACATCGAATCCCACGCTGCTCACTGCTGGGTGTTCTAGCAGAGCACTTTGGATTCCCACAAAACCACCATAGGCATACGCTGTTGCGGTAGTCCATGCCAGCATCAGTCCGGCATTCCCAAGGACCAGTGCCCACATGTAGTTGTAGACCTTATCGGTGAATTGGATATCCTCGATGAAGGATGAGGCCGGTACAACAGCGCGTGCAATGGGCAAGAGCATCAAAGCGATGTGTGGAGCCATGAGCACCGGCATAAAGTGTGTAGGGTGATGCCAGTAGTGTTCGTCTGCTAGTTGCATCGCGGGATAAGCAGTTGCGAAAATTGCGAAGAGGTTTAGGAGCCATGGACCTAGCCACGTTTGCCGGCGCGAACCAAATGACGATGGAACAGGTGCTGGCGGGCTTAATAGCAAGGTGAGCAGGAAGAGGTTTGTAGCAAAGCTGATGGCAACAATCTGGCCAAGCAGCATGAATGCCCAAGTATATCGAATGCCGCGACGTATTCCTAGATACGTTAGTCATGGTTGTCAAGTAAGAAGTATAATCTTCTACCTTTCTGCTCCAGATACAACCCCAGACTCAATGCGAAAAAGAAGATCTGGTGTGACCACCAGTACCTCGCATATCCGATGATGACGGTCTCCCATGCCTCTCGAAACAATGAAGTCTCTTTCAACCACAACCCCCAGTGATTCTGGTCTGGTTCAAGCTCGTAGTAACTACGCCACATCAGCCAAGACTGATAGCTGACCTTGAAGTACTGGAACATGTGCGTCCATGTGGTGAGCAAGCTGCCCACGGCAAGTGCACTGAACAGCCAGACATGTCTTCTTGGTGGGAGCTGTGCGGTAGTTGATTTTCGCAACACGCTAGCTCTTTTGACGAGCCTCAGGATGATGAAAACCGCGACAGAGAAGCATGTCAACAGATAGGAGAAGAAGATGGCATAGGGCCGGGTGTTGGTATCGGACCCTTCTGGGGGCGGTTCGCGATGCATGGAGCGGTGCGGGACAGAGTATCCAGGCGGCCCGAATCCTGGAGGGGCCATCGTGAGACGATTTTCGGGGTTTGTTGGGCAGCCATCACGTACAGTATGCTCTCCAGCCTTTATGGTGCCGTCGACAGTGACGAAACGTGTCAAGTGCGGATCAAAGGGCTCTCCTGCTTTGCCGGCAATGTGTATTGATTAACGGCTATCTTGGGACTGAGCTCCCAGCATGCGGCCGCGGTCGGTTATTGCGCCAATGATGGCGTGGCTGACGCAGGGATGGCCAACCTCCGCAACACGTGCCCAGGTGCCTCGGTGCCAAGGCGCCAGTGAGATCGTCATGTTTTCCCAGGTCCGTCGCGGTCTCGTCTTCGAAGATTCTCGTCCCTTGTTTTGCTTCAAGTAGCTGTCCTCCCCTGTGCTAACCTTCGCTGTTGCTTTCTCGCACATTCTCCTACTCTGTCACGACAAACTGCAAACGCCAAACCTCACAACACGGTGATGTCAGGCACACGGACCATTTGAGCTTTGCAAACCCTGATTGGCTGTTGTTTCATCATTTGGACCTCACCGCCACGCCCAAGCTACCAGACGCCCAAGTTGCGTAGCTCCGTCGATATTTTCCAGTCATCTACTGTGGTGTTTGAACATTCATTGAAGCTGTCGCCGCGATGACCGATACACCGCAGACCACGGCCGGTGCCAACCCCAAGGAAGCCAGGGTCCTAGAGCAGCATCTAGACCCAAGCTTCGACTTCTCAGAGTTTGACCCAGCGACGCCAGCGGCAGAAGAGGGCGCAGATAACGCCTCCAACTCGGGCGACCGCCAGCTTCCTGAATCATCGTTGCGGTTACAGGGTGGCGACATCCACCGCGACCTGTACAAGATTGCGGCACAGAACAGACGGCAAAAGTTGCACCAACGAGCAGCAACCTTTTCTGATGCAGTCCACTTTGGCCGCAACCCTGCTCCGTCAATTTCAGACGTTGACCATGACGAGCTACCCGTTCGCGACCAGCTCGCGCCCGGCGGCCTGAGACGCCAATACTTACAACGGCAAAGCAAGCGTGTCAGCTACATCTCGGAGCCTGTTACGCGAAACTTCATTTCGTTCCTTGAACTGTATGGCCAATTCGCTGGTGAAGATCTTGATGAAGATTCGTCGGATGCGGAATCTGCCGTTGAAGAGGAAGATGAAGGGCAAGGCGAGCGGAGACCACTTCTCGGACGCCGACAGAGCTCGAAGAGACTGAGGGCTCAGGGTGATGCGGACCAAGTCAAGACCTTCTTTACTCTCCTAAAGGCGTTCATCGGTACCGGAATCATGTTCTTGCCCAAGGCCTTCAAGAACGGTGGAATGCTGTTTTCGTCGATCACCATGATCATGGTATCTGCTATTACAGCGCTGTGTTTCGAGTTGCTGCTGGCGACAAGAAAGAGATATGGCGGTGGTGGTTATGGTGATCTGGGTTCTATCGTTGTGGGACCGAGATTCCGCGCCCTCATCCTGGTCTCCATCACGCTCTCGCAAATCGGCTTCGTGTGCGCTGGTCTCATCTTTACTGCCGACAACCTTCGATCGTTCCTGGATGCTGTCACTCACGCTGAGGAGCCTCTCTCAACCAATGCGCTCATCGGTATCCAGATCGCTGTTCTGATACCCATGTCCTTCATCCGAAACATCTCCAAACTCGGACCTGCCGCCCTTCTCGCCGATGTCTTCATCCTTATCGGCCTGACATACATCTACTGGTACGATATCTCATCGATCTCCAAAATGGGCGGATTCAACCCATCGATCGAACTCTTCAACCCCCGCGACTTTACTCTGACTATCGGATCCGCCATCTTCACCTTTGAGGGCATTGGCCTTATCCTCCCCATCCAGTCCAGCATGAAGGAGCCTGAGCACTTCAGCAAGCTCCTCTACATCGTCATGCTCATCATCACCGTCATTTTCACGTCCGTCGGTGTCCTCTGCTACGGAACCTTCGGCGAGAACGTCTCTGTCGAGGTCATCACCAACTTCCCCCAGACCAGCAAGCTTGTCAACGCCGTCCAGTTCCTCTACTCCATGGCCGTCCTCGTCGGTACACCAGTGCAACTCTTCCCCGCTATGCGTAACATTGAGCTCAAGATCTTTGGTCGCGCATCTGGCAAGCAGAGCAACATGACCAAGTGGAAGAAGAACGCCTTCAGGACATGTCTCGTCATTCTTTGCGGTGCCATCGCTATCCTTGGAGCTAGCGACCTCGATAAGTTCGTCGCGCTCATTGGAAGCTTTGCCTGTGTACCCCTGGTGTACATCTACCCTGCCTACCTGCACTACAAGGGTGTCGCCAACCGTCCTTGGGAGAAGTTCGGTGACATTTCCATGATGGTTATCGGTGTCGTTGCCATGGTGTACACTACCAGTATCACACTTGCTAGATGGTCTGAGACCTAAGAAGAGAAAGAAGGGTGGTTGGAAGAGTACGGAAAAGTCCCTTTACAGTACGGTGGAAGCAGCGTCACTATTGCATAATTTGTTTCTCGCACGGCGTTCAGGTGGACGGGTGAATGGGATGTCTTTGTATGGTATTTTTAACGCGCGCATGTTACAGTTACGTGTAACGATAATGGCATACTAGTACGAACTCGTCTCCTCGCATCTTATCTGTGATGAGCTCCACAGCTCAGTTACCTCGCTTCCCCTCTCACAAGCGTCTTAATACTGATCAACATTGAACGCCTCTTGCAATCTACGCCAGAACGGGAACGCCTCTCTCGATCTCCATAACTCAAGAACGCAAATAATGACACAAGCTGCCTTAAACAGCCAGAGAAGCCCGACGGAGATGCCGTAAAGGTACCGCCAGGCGACGATCATTACCATGTCCATTAGTGTCATGTCAACATCATCAGGCTCAACATCACCCAGCCATGCATTCGCAGCCTCTATCTCCTCTCTCGTCATCCTCCTCTTAACTTTCGCTTCCTCTTCCTCCCCCTCCCTAATACTCCTCTCTTCTTCCCTCTCTACACCCCGCCAAATCTCCGCCAAATCTTCTAACCCTTCTCTCTTTATCTCAAACCACTTTGTCCGACACAGTGGACATTTGTTGCTATTCGGCATCCCCGATGCGAGCGACTTGCGCAGACACTGGTAGCCGAAGACGTGGTCAACGCAATGTGGTGTGTTGGTAATGAGAACGGGTGCGTGGGAGCCGTGGAACGGGTCTTGACAGATTCCACATATCGTGCCTGGGGTGGGGTAGAGGGGGTGTGAGGGTAGGAGCGGGAGGAGGTTGCTGGCGAGGAAGGTGGGGAGGGTGGTTGTGGAGGTTTGAGATAGTGTAGTAGATGGAAGACGCCTACGCTGATCTGGATTGGTTCTTGGTAGAGGGGTAGGGTCGAGGAATGTTGCGGTGACGGAAGGGGGGAAGAGTTCAGTTAATGATGGGGAGTGATAATCTTCTGGTGGTGAAGCGGGTTCTGATGGCTGTATGGGAGAAGACGGGCGGTATGGTTGGCTTGGGTCTATTCCTGAGAGGCGGTCGCGCCTGCCTCCTGGATAGAGATCAAGTGGTGAGATTCTCTCGTGATGGATCCAGTAGGGGCGGGTGGTCGGATGGCTTTCGGCTCCTTGGGGAGGGGGAGGAGAAGACATGTTTGCAGGTTCGATGGTTGAGTGCTGTGGTTGCGGTGGGGGATGGTTTTAGACGTTCTTTACGTTGAGAAATGTTCACTAGTGGATGAAAATGGGCGGTGGGATGTGTAGCTGCATGGAGAAATCTAGTCGGACGGCTCGTGCACTGGCTTTCATTGCTTTGGCCTACTGCTTACTTTACTGAACCACAAAATGCCTCTTGAGTGATGAGAGCCTGCAGTTGAAGATTCACCTCGAGCTAATCTAAGGCTACAACGTGAGCTGAGAAAGAGAGATACCCAAGGAACCAGCTACACGCATCTAAACCGCGTTCTTCTCCACTTCTGCTCTCGGATCATCGACAACCTCCCACTCATCGTCCGCGTCGACCTTGTCCCATTCTTCTTCATCCGAGTCCAAGTTCAGCGTCTCGAACTCTTCCTCGGGAACCTTCTCTTCGGGGGCCTTGGACTTATCTAAAGCCAAAACCCTGTCCAGCTCGGCACGAGCAGCAGGATCCGTTTGCACCGAAGCGAGGTTCTCGACTGCGAAACGCGATTTGATGGGGTTTGTGGTCTTCTGGCTCCTGACGGGCAATTGAGTCCTCCTACTTTCCACATCAGAGGGGTTGAGGGAGTATGTCGGCACATGGCGTTTGACAGGTGTTGTGGGGGTCGTGCTAGTTGTCGGTCGCGCACCAACCTTGCTCTGAGCGCGCTCCGCCTTCTTAGTAGAGATTTCCGTCTGTGGTCCATTCCTGAGCATCTCCAAAAGCTCGGGGAAGGAGAGTCCAACATTGCCCATATCCGCGACCATTGTGTCGATCTCTGCGTCAGTGTATTTTCGCTGGCGGAGATCACGGATAGTTGCCAGGCGTGCTCTGAGGCCTGGTGAGCCGTCGAGTTGTGTTGATTCGTAGCCAGAAGCCCGAGATATGGTTTTTGGTGGGGCCTTTAGCCAGGCATCCGAGGCCGATTTGGGTGAAGTGTAGACATTAGGCTGGTAAACTGGAGGCTCGTAAACTGTAGGCTTGAGAATTCTAGACTTGAGAGGTGGAGGCTCTCCGAAGACTGGCAGCTTATTGCTGTCACCAAGACTTCGAATTGGTAACGTAGTCCTTGATGTATCTTTGGAGGCGGAAGAAGGAGTGCT